CTTACTTAAATTCAATACATGGAACAGTTTCTGCATATGCTAGAATCTTTTGTGACTTCATGTTGTTTTTCAAAATGTTTGATTTTTCTTTTCACTTGATAATAAAATTTACAAATGTAATGTGTAATTCAATGCATTACATTGCAAAAGTAATTGTAATATAATGCATTACTTTGATAAATGCATGTAATTGTAATTTAATGCATGGTTTTGTCAAAGTAATTGTAATATGATGCATTACATTGCAATGTAATTCGCCCCATGCCTGGTATATACTAACACACACATAGACAATGCTGGGTATATTTGCTACGCAGAGTGTTGGTTTTGGGATCAGAACTATGCACAACAATTCACATCGATGCAGGAAATTGGTGGACCGCTATATTTCCTAGCAGAATGTGTCCCAAGAGATAAAATACAACGACATAGCAAACATGTGGTAACACCATTGACGCACGGGCGCTTTAGGAATGAACCCCCCTTTTTCATATATCTTTTTTTGAGTTTCATTTTTTTTTTATAAATATTCTTGAATATTTTCACCTTTGTTCACTTATTAAATGCGTTGTTGCTTTTACTTATGCGATTTTATATAACAGTAATTTATATATAATTCACCTCTGTTTTTATTTTCCACAGTTTCATTTTTTAATTAGTGAAAATTATCATAAGCTAGATATTAAAGAATAATTACTTTAAACACAAAATATATATATGTATGTGTATCTTTATTTCTGCTTATAATGAAGGGCATCATTTAGATGGTAGTTAAAGTAAAGTAAGAAGTTTATATTTACAAACAATGTATCATAATTAACCTTTACAAAAAACACCTAAAGCTTGAAGAATGCATAAAGAAAAAAAAAACACGTTTCTAAGCCTGCAAAATTACATGTTCACAAATTATTGTCTTATAAATAGACACCCATGTATTCGTACATTTTCAAGTCGCACACATCCTGTAAATTTTGTGATGCAGTCCCGTTGAAACATAGTTCTATCACCTTCGTCAAAGATCGAAATCTAGACGGCATGATAAGATGCATGCTAAATATCTAATCTGATCATGAACTTTCTATTGTAATCCAAAGCGAAGTGTATGGATGCTATAAGGAAAGTAACTTCAAAAACATATATCAAATATTATTTAACAAAGGTAAAAAGTTCATTTTCTCAGTAAAATGATATTGTACTTTTACACTTTTCCCATTGGTCGATAAAGAGTGTTCTGTTGAGACCAATTTCATGGAAAATTAATATTCATAAAAAAAATGTTCAATACTACCATGAAAACAAAATTGAGATACAATAGTGGAGCGGCGGAGAGGACAATTTTTTAAATTTAAATTACCTACATACCTCATGGCATTATAATAGCTCATTGGAAAGCTTAAATCGTGTACTTTTTGAAAATATGTGTCGTAAATATGAAAGCTGGTGCCATCGTGCCTTAAATCAAGGTCAAAGGTCATCACTAAAAAATTCCCTTGATCTTCGACCTCGATAAATAGCATTTCTGGACAAGATATACATACATTTGAGAATAATAGGTATTAATAGAGTATCTGAAATATATTGTTGATAAAATCCAACAACATTTGCAGGTTAGATTTCGTCTCAGTTTTCCAGGATTCGACATGTCACTGAGTCTTCTTGAAAACAATTCCCACTGTAAGTCTCAATACACGCTAATTTTTCAGATGATACAAGAAGCATGAGTTATTGAAGTGACAACTACGATTAACTTTCGTTCGACGGTACTGTAATGAATGCAAGAGGAAAGGTTTTATGAAAAATTCAAAAATTTTGACATGACTGTTTTCATATACAAAATGAAACGTCGAAAAAATATATAGAAAGTTGAAATTCACATACGACATGAACGTGGAACACCCCAATTTAGTTTATATATTTAGAAAATATTTCCAATAAATAATGTTCATGATATGTCATCTGTGCCATCAGCTATGTCAGCTGGTACGGCCTGGACATTGTTACAATTACCCACTTTTTAACAAAACACAAATTCGTGCAAGATTGATTGGTTGATGTTGCTTAACGTCCAGTGGCAAATGTTTCATGCATGTTCAGGACGAGAACACATTAACAATTAATACAATAGGTATGTCCCGTAACAGAGGACGTCCAGGATGAAGGAGGGGGAAATTTGGACTGCCACTGGAATATGAGGGTATATTGGATAGGGACAAAAATTTCGCCTTGCAACAGGCCACCAACGACTCTTTTATCAAGAAATCTTACGACTTAAATTGAACGTAAGTTATACTGAAATGTTCATGACATACGAGTATTTTTTCTCGTAATATCGTTTTAGAAATGATTCGCTGCTCCTTGTTAACGCATGCTGTTTTCGCATGCTTTCCACCTTATACGAACAAATAAGGTCTTGTAGAGAGTCTGATGTCATTTGGGTTTGCAACATTTGCCTACACCCAAACCTTGCTTTGCCAAAATGCACGTACAAATGTAGTACGTGTTGCTTAAACACTCATTCACATGGCGGAAGCTTTATTACACTTTTTTCTTTATATATAGCCAACTGTTGTCTTATCAAATTTAATTTTTTGTGCGATTTATTGAACTTATATTTTAATTTGTATAACGCAGTTACAAACACCCTAGCATCATCTATAGCACTATCAATATAGTGCTTCTTAAATTTAACCTTGAGTTGATAGTAATTGCAGTAGGTCTTACTAATGTTATTTGGTAAGAAGACTTGTACATTATCAACCTTGATAAAATAACGAGTCTTTTTGTAACGAATAAGGTCTTTGTTTATAATTTTAATTACTCTTTGTGTAATTTGGTCTTTATGCCAAACATGTGATCAAACATGCAGCATGATAAACGCAGTTATTGAGCAAATTGTCATGCTTTATTCGGTATATCATATCAGCGTCGCCTGCTCTAACAGCACCATCATTTAGATTTGCTAATCTTCCAGCATGGTATGAAATGTTTTCACTTTCTATGAGACATTTTCTTGCAAATTATACACTTTAATGTATCGAGAGGACGGGTCAAAATTACTTTCAACCACATAAAATTGGATAAATCTGGCTTCATATCTAGCGCTTCCTTTTCAGTCGTGCTACTGATTTCCAATTCGGTTTACTTGCGTAGCTTGCGTATTGCTGTGTGTTTGTTTATTCTACATTGGCTAGAGGTATAGGGGGAGGGTTGAGATCTCACAAAACATGTTTAACGCCGCCGCATTTTTGCGCCTGTCCCAAGTCAGGAACCTCTTGCCTTTGTTAGTCTTCTGTGTTTTTTTTAATTTTGGTTTCAGTGTGACGTCCATTTTCTCTGAACCAGTACACATTTTTGTTTAGGAGCCAGCTGAAGCTGGACTGTTTTATGCTCTTTGGTCGGGTTGTTGTCTCTTTGCCACATTCCCCGTTTCCATTCTCAATTTTATTTGTCAACTCCAACTTCAAAGCACCTTTTCTTGGCATAGGACGGAGCCAGTTTTAACGAACTAGTGTAATTGTCCTTTTACTTCAATATCCACCAGATCGAATACACCTGAAAACCAAAACACCCTACAATGATTGTCACTTTCACGTTTAAATTCAACAAACACGACTAAACAACAATACCTAAAAAAATAAATAAATCGCAAAGCTTTAGAAATTCTAAAGTAAACAAGAAATACGCGTGATAATAACTTCAAATGACCATCGCAAAATTGCTTACGGTTGCAGTCTTGTAATTGACTGCTCCATAGGCTTACATGCAAAACAGCTGATCTTTGAAAAAATTTTAAAATAAAATGCTACATAGAAAATGTTTTTCATGTGCATATCATGTATGTAGTAATGTGAAATTGTGATTTAATAAAAAAAAAAGTGGGTCATGCCACGAAGAATAAAAAGTTATGTAACCCTGAAGTCAAAATTAATTTTTTCTACTCTTTGTTTGCTGTTTTTACTATGCCGCACCACTTCCAGTAAACATGATATCTTTCCACTTTCCTGGTTTGATATCCCCAAAAAGATGCAATATTTTCTGTTGATTAAACATATGTTTCAATTCAGCATAAACTTTTAATCAAACAGAAAAAATTGAGTCCAGAAAAAAATTCAGAAAAAAATGGACTATTTTATTTCACGCCATGTTTTGACATGCACCGGAAACTGGAGTTGTAATACAAGACTGGTACCTTAATGTGGGCTTATAACTAGAAACCAAAACAGTGTCGGTTCATGTGTGACAAATATCCGGAAATGAAATTTTATAAAATGCAGATGTTTAACCAATAATATTGCTTATTACTAATTTTCTTCAAAAAGTAAATCGGGTCGATTGAAGTATAAAACGACGGCTTTAAGGTTGTGCCTTTAAAATACACATTTATTGCACGTACAAATAATTCTAGGTGAAAAACAGTGACTTTTTTGTGTTTTTTTTTCCCACCATTTCAGATGCTCTTGTGCTTTAAATATATCAGTTATTAAAAATGCCCTTATAATGTATGAAGTTCAAGGGTAACCATATTAGCCAATTTAGACTACAAATCATGTTTAGAACAGGGTTAATTATGAGATAAGTCTATCGAAACAGTAGTGTGGTCTTCGATGACAGTTGGGTAACGTCAGTTAAGGTCGTTTCTAACGTCATTGGCATCACATTTGAAATTTACGACAAATATTTTTTTGAAGTTGACTAATCGATAGACATTTCAGGACAATAATATTCCATGAAGTATTTAGGTAATTTAAACTCTTTAACTAAGTGTCTTTTTCAACATTCGCCGCTCTACTACAATGACTTTAAATCATATAATAAATTTTAAATGATATTTTGTTTTTAAACACTGCGTCATTTTGGATATAGCATTTCACTCGAAAATGATAGCCACTCATTCTAAACATGGGTTTTAAATCATTCTTTCCATCAAATAAAACCTCTGATTGGTTGATGTCTATATATGTATATATCATTGATTTGTTATATTTCAAGAGTTTTGATAGCAACAGGACATAAGCTGTCTATTCGACATGTCCAACAATTGCTTTGAACTATAACTCACATAGTCAAGATGAAATTTCACGTCGCTATTTTGATAGTTTTTTCCGCAGTTGGACTACAAGGTAAGAATATGTTGTGACGTCTAATATGAGGGTTTGGATGGGGTTTACAGAATAGCGAATATTTGGCAAAAGATGCAGAAAAAATTCAACAACAAAGAAAGAATAGAGTAAAGTAGGCAACAACAAAAATAGAGAATAATGGGGTGCTTAAATATAAAGAATAGAGAATAATGGGTAAAATAAATAAGAACAGAGAAAAATGATATTAAAACTAGAGGCTATTAAGAGCCTGTGTCTCTCAACTTGGTCTATGTGCATATTCAACAAAGGACACTCTCCAACATTGTAGACGAGAATAGAATTCATGACAAAAATCTCTGTTTTGTTGACCTTGTATTGCTGATCATTTAGTCTGTTTAGTTTCTCTCTATCTTCTTTAGTATTTGCTCAAAACACAAAGAGGGTAAAAAAAATCCTCATTTAAGGGCAATCACTCCTTTAAAGAGTGACAGTTTACTAACTATATCGGCAAAGTTTGACTTGTTAGTAGATCTTGCCTTGTTGATCATTTTTGTAAAGATGTCTATTTATCTATTATAATTTTTATCATATAAAACAAAACGCAAAAAAAATGGTAAAAATCGTCATGAAAGGGCAATAACTCCAATAACATGAATAAGGAGTCGTCGGACGATTTCCTCCATATTGTTTTAATTGTAGATCTTGTCTTGCTGATCATTTTTGCTTATTTAAGGATCAATCTATCTAATATATTTTAAAGATATAAGCCAAAAACGCCAAAAAAAATCGTAAAAATCATCATCAAAGGGCAATGACTCTAAAAAGGAGTCTGCTGACGATTTCGACCATATTAGACTTATTTGTAGAACTTACCATCTTTGCAATTTAAAGTTTCTCTCTAACTATTATACTTTTTAAGATAATAGGCAAAAGTGAAAAAAATGGTAAAATTTGTCATTGAAAGGCAATAACTCCTATAGGAATTCGTCTGACAGTTTTGAGGTATATGAACAATTGGTAGAGCTCAACAAAAGTTAACGACGACGACGGACGACGGCCGCCAAGTGATGAGAAAGGAATAAAGAAATGAGGTTCCCCCATCCAGACCCTCTAATAGAATGAGTAGCAAAATATGAATCAAAGAAGGCGTAGGATATGTTATTTAGACAAGCTCACCCAAACGACAAAAAAAAACCAACAAAGAACATCTACAGGTCAAAGTACGATCGTCGTCGTATTTTTATGTTAAATACAACAGAATCATCATTCAAAGTTACATTATCTAATTGTTTGAAACATGACATTTTCCATCAATTTAACATTATTATGTTTGCTTTATTTTAACAAAATTGATAATAATTTTATCAAGTTATATTCTCTTTTGACTGATGCCTGTTATCCATTTTCCGTATGAAGTGATATTTCCCGTTTCACACTGAACGGGAGTGTATTATGAATAAGTGTCAATATGATTTGCCTTTCATGCAATGGGCTTCGAAATTGCCACATTTCAAGTGGCAATTTTTAGGTCAATGATGACCTTCAAAGGGGTATTTGTGATTTCTTCAATAATATACCAACCAATCACGGGTTTCATTTGAAAATATTTGTTTTGTTCAATTGATTCCATTCCGAAACGTACAAAAAGCATGAAAACGTTTGACTTTAGAGTCTTCTGGGTTTCTGACATAATATTCTTAATACTGTAATCGGACTGATATTTATATAGTGTACCTTGCGAAATCGAAAATATTTACGTGCTATCCGTGACAATGTTGAGACAATGCATAGAAAAAACAGACGAAGAGCTTGATACAACTATTAATTTCATAATTTCATAATTGTAGCATAAAAATGTATTTATACGAATTGAATGCTTCTTTTTATAACTTTTTAGAATTGTAAAAGCGTTGATCGAGCACACATCTTTAATATGAAGCGAAAGTTCTTCGGTCAACGCTTTTATACCACAATAATATTATAAAAAGAAGCATTCAATTCTTTTTAAGTGAATGACCACTTAGTTTTAAGCGAACATAAGGATGTGACAGATAATGACAGGTCCGTAGTCGACATCAAAATGAACTTTGATGCTGACGCAATCTAATTAAAATATAGAACTCGGATTTCGTTATACTACAGTTTATAACGAAATCCGAGTTCTATATTTTAATTAGATTGATGCTCACGCAATAATGCTTCATAGAATACAAAAGTTGTAATAAGTTAGTTAACATTATGAAACATAGAAAAACGATCTAGAACAACTAAGCAAACATAATGAAATCAATACAGTAATATACCACTTCATATACTGATCCATTTATTTGCGATTCAAATCGATAGACCTACAAACACAATTTTAACTGTTCATTCATACCTTGAAACAAGGTTATTATTAATAATTGTATTATCAATTGAAAAATAGCAGAAATATGAATTAGTATTCAAACATGGAAAAACAGTTTTAAGTACATATTCAGTCAAAATATCACCACTGGAATAAAGGTAAAAAAAAACTAGGGAAGAAATGCACAATTTCTTGTGGAAGGTAAAACGTATACTTCGTATGCTATTTATCATATCCAAAGGATTTGTTACACTATACTTTAAGGGCATGTGGCGCAACTGACAACGCGTCTGACTACGGATTCAAGGTTCGAATCCTGGCAGACTCGGAAAGATTTTTGTCAATGCTTTTTAACACACCCTTTTGGAGCAAGTATATAATGAAAAGTTATATATATGGGGGAGGGGGGATGGGGATGCCTCTATATTTTACTATCCCTTTGCGACAAAGTTGCAGAGAGGATTTTGTAACGAAAATGTCCATGCGTCCGTCCGTTTACACTTATGGACACAGTATAGCTTAAGTATCTCAATTGATCTGTACTATATTTGGTTTACAAAAATTCAGTATAGAGACGACTAGAGGCTCATTGATTTTCAAGGCCAAAGTTGAATGTTTTTAGTATCGCCCGTAACTAGAGACACATGAACTATAATATTCCAGGCATTGGCATTGTCACCTGGGACCTAATATAAACCTAATATAAACTAACACACAGTAGGTTATAGACAATACTGGGTATATATATGCTACGCATAGTGTTAAATTCGCATCGATGCAAGAAATTTTTAGAGCTGGACCGCTATATTTCCTAGAAGAATGTGTCTCAAGAGATAAAATATACCGAAAAAGAAAACATAGGGTAATATCATTTACACACAGGCACTTTGGGAATGGACCCCCCTTTTTTCTATATAAATATTTTTTATTAAATATTCTTGAATATTTTAACTTTTTTGCACTTATTTAATATGTTGTTGCGTTTATCCATACAATTTTAAATAGCAGTTATTTATTTATGATGCTCCTCTATTCTCATTTTCTGCAGTTTCATTGTTAAATACCTAAAAATTATTACAAGCTGAATATTAAAGAATAATTACTAAAAAATAAAACACGATATATATTTACATATCTTCATTTCCTCCAATAATGAAGGGCATTAGTTAGATCGGTAGCTAAAGTAAAGTAAGAATACAGGACATTATATTTACAAAAAATGTATCAAAGCTAGCCTTTACAAAAATATATAAAGCTTGAAGAATCCATAAAGAAAACCCCAGGTTTCTAAGCCTAATGAAATTAGCAATGTCCGCACAGTAAAATCTTATTCACAAATTATTGTCCAATATATAGACACCTATATATTTGTACATCTTCAAGTCGCACACATCCTGTAAATGTTTGTGATGCAGACCTTTTGAAACATATCACCTTCGTCAAGATCAAAGTCTGGACGGCGTAATAAGATGCATGCTTAAGATCTAATCTGATCATGAATGTTTTATTGTAATCCAAAGCGCAGTGTTTTGATGCAATAATGAAAGTAACTTAGAAAAAATAAATTAAATGTTATTTAACTTAGGTAAAAAGTTCTCAGTAAAATGATATTGTTCTTTTCCCAACGGTCGAAAAATAATGTTCTGTTGAGACCAATTTCATGGAAAAATAATAACCATCAAAAAAACCTATTAGTGATAAAAAAAAATGATCAATACTACCATGAAAACAAAATTGAGATACAATAGTGGAGCGGCGGAAAAGGCAATTTTAGAAATTTGAATTACCTACATACCTCATGGCATTATAATAGCTCATTGTAAAGCTTAAATCGTGTACTTTTTGAAAATATGTGTCGTAAATATGAAAGCTGGTGCCATCGTGCCTTAAATCAAGGTCAAAGGTCATCACTAAAAAATTCCTATTTTCATCTAGAGAAACAAATTGCATATTTTTTCAAAATCAATAATCCATTCAATAAATTATGCAAGTAGTATTATTTATCAATGCTTAAGTTCCGACTTAAATGTGTTTCATATTTGCACATGACGTCAGAATAACGTATTATTCAACTTTTTCGAAGGTAACACGTTTGATGGAAATTTCAACGCCTGATTAATAACTGCAACGGAATGACCTTGATCTTCGACCTCGATAAATAGCATTTCTGGACAAAATATACATACATTTGAGAATTATAGGTATTAATAGAGTATCCGAAATATATTGTTATAAAATCCAACAACATTTGCAGGTTAGATTTCATCTCAGTTTTCCAGGATTCGGCATGTCACTGAGTTTTCTTGAAAACAATTCGTAGTTAGTCTCAATACACGATAATTTTGTATTTCATTCATGTTCAGAAGCATGCGTTAATGAAGTGACAACTACGATTAACTTTCATTCGACGGTACTGTAATAAATGCAAGCGGTTTATGACAAATTCAAAAAGTTAGACATGACTGTTTTCATATACAAAATAAAACGTCGAAAAAGTACATAGAAAGTTGAAATTCACATACGACATGAACGTGGAATACCCCAATTTAGTTAGAAAATATTTCCAATAAATAATGTTCATGATATGTCATCTGTGCCATCAGCTATGTCGGCTGGTACGGCCTGGACATTGTTACAATTACCCACATTTTGACAAAACACAAAGTCGTGCAAGAAAGATTGATTGATT